CTCTCCTTTGGATAATGGGCAATAATTATCTCAGCTTTGCCTCCTTTTACTCAGCTCTTTAGCCACCAGCTACCACCTCTACCAAATGTGCTACGCCAAATCTCAGGTCCTTCTCTGGTCCTGCTTCTTCTAATTTTATTATTGCTCTGCAATTTTGCCAGATGAAATCTTGCAACTCTGACAACCTCCTTCACAGTCTATCCTCACCTTCCTCTCAGAAATTCCACACACACAAAAAAAAAGACAACTCAAAGTTTGTACATCTCAGTGGCCACTATCCTCCACTTTTACCTCCTCAAAGCAACCAACCAAAAAAGCCTCCACAAAAAGATGCCCTTGTGCCACTATTCCCTCTAAACCTACCACCTCACTTTCAAGACAATAGACCCACAATTCTTATCTGGATGGTCTCTCTCCTAATGCTTAACTTGGACCTTTCATGTTATTCCATACTGCACTGCAGGTCACCAGCCACTCATCCTCCTGGCATGTCATCTTTGAGCTGATTTTCTTTCTAGTTAATCATATCCAATAGATAGAAAAAAAAAAAAAAGAAATCTCAACTCATCATTAAGTATATAATTTCTATGTTGCAACGACTTTTTTTTTTAAGCTTATTACTCTCATTGCACTTCTGTCTGTCCTCCTCCAGAGCCTGCCTTCCTTCACCTAAAAGCTTATGCTATTTCTCCTCTTTTGAGCTCTTTCATGACCAAGGTCTCTAATATTCATCATATGTTACTGAGACGGTGATTTTGATTTGCCAAGCGCACCAGCCTCTATCATTCACTTATTAAAGCTGTCAAAGGAGAACATTTTTTATTCCTGCCAGGCAAATCCCTCCTGCAGGAAGGGCACCTCTCATGACCAAAGACCCCCTGAAAATTTATTCTCAAAAATCCCAGAGTTCAACACCAGTCCAACAGCAGAAGCACTACGATCGCTATCTGTCACAAAGGTCAAAACCACCTTATTTGCTTTTACTTCTTCCCATGCCTCTGCTCCTATGTCGATGCCTCTTACTGCAGATAATACGTTCCTACCGGTAGAGCCTGTTTTCTGTTCCACGCTTGCGTTACAGGCAGCACAGGGGTACCCTCATCTGATACCAGGATCTGCAACACAGAGTAGCAGCAGCGATGCCTGATAACGCACCATCGGAGAGAACACAAGGAGCCAGGATCGAAAGGTGGAGTTACGTTCTACCTGCCGGCCCTTGATACTGCACCCAAGCTACGATCGATCTGCACTGCATGTATAATCAGAACACGATTAAAAAAGAAAGGTAATCTGAAAATAATTACTGTTCAAAAGGCAGAAGGCACATGAGGTGTACACCAGATAGCAGCTACCTGAACAGAAACTGCGAACTTTTGAAAGCTTTGTGAGTGAAGCAAGCTGCAGCTCTTCCAAAGTACAGTCCTTATGATGACAGAAGCTTTCTTTACCACATGTAATTATTTGTGTAAATGTAACTGTAGATTTCAACATCTAGTTCTTCCCTTTTCTTTTTTTTCTTTTTTTTTTTTTGCTTTACTTTGTTATTGCTATCTTTATTCAAATGAACACATGCAAGTAACATGTTTGCATATCGTAAGATTATTTCCTCCTTCCCTTGCTCTGCCAAGCACGCAATTCACTAAGTTACAGAAACGTGGAGCTCGATCACGTATAAAACATTCATTGCAGATGTCTACTGAATTCTGGGGAAGGACTTTCACAGCCTGTGCTTAAATATCCTTAGAAGGTTTTTCTTTATCATTACATTGCCCACTGAAAGAGAAACAAATTACTTCTCTCTTCAGATAACAACTGATCCATGTCCTGCTTATCACACCTTTTTATACTTTGAAAGTCAGCTCTTTCCTCAGTATTTTCTTCCTGGGAAAAACAAAACCTTCAACTTTCTCCTCATTGATGACTTCTAAAAATCCATTTCCTCTATTTCTATCTTTCTTTAAACATATATCCTTATCCTTCTGGGAACTCAGGCCACAGTATTTCAGCTGAGGTCTCCACAGCACCAGGCAGAGGAGAACAGCCATTTCCCATGTCCATCTAGTCTCTCCACCCCAGCACGTCTCTCACTGGAGTTCAAAGCACACAAATCACTGGCAGCACATTTTTGCTTACAGTTACATTTTAATCTCTGAATAACATACTGTATTCTGACCTTAGAGAGAAAATACGAATGTTAAAAGCACAGTATGAAACTCAGTGGTAAACCTAAAACCCATGCTCATGTGTAGCCCCCTACACCTTCGCACGTGCATTTTAAAAAGATGCTACAGAAACCAACGTTATTCAGATTCCATTTAACAGTAAGAAGCATTAGCTGAAGAAAACATCAGAAGTACCCAGAGATTTCTTTACAAAAGTAGATGTAGCTTATTTTTTTAAAAAATCATAATTCCTTCATGTTTCCGTCTTGTTCTAAGTTTAGAAGACCTAAATGATTGTTCCTTAAAAGAAAGTCCCTATAAAAAGCCATATAATGTAATTGTAATTGTAATGTAATCATTACAGATTACACTATACTATGATGCAATCAGAAAGCCGGAGACTCAGTGGCTTGTAAATATGAGTAAAGAACATAAATTTGTGTACTCAGTCCAAATACAAATATAACACTGCAGATCTCCAGAATGAACAGATTTCACGTGCATAAACCAATTTGTATTTGGAAAGTCATAACAAAGCATTACATAGGTAGAAATTACTGTGAATAAAAGAAAATACAGCTTCACATCACAGGAATTTCTGAGTCTTCATTAAGTATGGAAGGAGCAGTTCAGAGCTAGTCTGAAGTGATCTTTATTTTTTTGGTCTCTCCACAGTTACAATTAACTTTTTCTCCCTCATTTCTCCCAACACCAAAACACCAACTCCATATTAATTTTTTAATATCACTAACCACCACCATCTCAATTTTTTTCTTTGTATATCCAAGGAAGGAATTGGACTGGGCTTCCAAACAAACTGCAGCAGAAGAGGGCACCGCTGGCCTCTTACAAGTCCTTGATTGAGTAAAGGATGCCAATGACAGTCCTCACATAACAAGACCCTTAACTGGTTTGACAAGAGAGATTTTGTCCAGCTTCAAAGAAAACTATCTTCCGCTTCCATAGGCTAAAGGGAAGGTTGGTTATGCCCCACACAATCTCCTCCTCTTTAGTTTCATACTAAAATACTAGTGCTTTTTATTGTTTGTAGTGAACTTCACCTACTCTTTAACTTCTCAAAACAAACTATAAAAAGCTGTGTTAACCTACAAAGTACGTTTATGACTTGCTTTTCCATTAGTAGGAAGATTTATCTTGTAAAAGTAAGACTTCGGCAATAAACAGACACTCAGTAACTGTTTTTCCATTTTTCCTTTTCTAATTCTTCCTCAGTGCATTGCAAGAATTTACTTAACCCATAAAACAGGCAGTACTGTCAAATCTCACTTATGTAAAGGTGTTGAGATAATTCAGACAAAGCTAAAATGCCAAAGATGAAACATGCAATGAGAGTATAATAGGGATAAGTTACCGATATAATTGAATGAAGCGAAAACCAGTTTTGGTCCAAACAGCCAGTGAGGGCATATTTAGTTCTCTCCACATTCATAGCATGTTTCATCTTCAGTTCAACAGAAGATGCAACAACAGAAAATAAGGATTAGCAAAACACCAGTTCTCAGCAAGGAAAGGCCTCATGGCTTGGAGGGGACTCCACCTCTCCGTTCCACAGACTGGACACATGCTCCTTTGTGCTCTCATATACACAAGAGCTGCTAGGTAAACACATTTCCTCCTTGCTTCCCAGACTCTTAGTTTGTCCCCAGGACCAATGATTTCTGAGCACCTCCTGCCCACAACTGCACTGGTGCACTAGAGTATTATCCACTGAAAAGCAACCACCTGCCTGTCTCTCTCCCGTACATAACGGATGCCTGGCAGACCGAATACTGACTCACATGGCAATCGCTCTCAGAAACGTGCTGTGTGGTCTCAGTTATGCTCAGGGCATCACAGAAACATGCTGGAATGGTCAAAACAACTACCCTTCACTGAATTTGCTATTAGAGTGATAATTCATAGACGAAGTTCTCATGAAAAAGTTTTAGTTCAAAATTGCAATAAGAGGAAAGAAAAGGGCCCCTCTTCAAAAATGACTGGAAAATATTGTTGCTTTCAGAGGACTTGGCTGGAGTAGAAGAGATGCGAGACCTTTTTTCCCCCCCACCTCCCTCAATCCACCATCCTACAAAAACAGGGATTTAATTCTAGCCCCTTCAGTCAGGCTTGCTTTATTTATAACCCTCTTACAGCTTCTATTTAATCTTTTCTTGGGACTGTGCAAAGAGCTACAGAGAGTCATGCAACCCACTAATCTCCATAAGGAATGCAGGAATAATAAGTAAATAAATAAGGATGGATTCAGGACAAGCAATGGCCACAAGGTATTTGTAGGAATTAAACACACCATCCTGTTTCCTACAAACTGCTTTCACACAATGTCTGTTTTGGTAGGATTAGAGCCGGATAGTGGAGAACTACGAGTTATTTTTTGTTTGTTTCAGCTGGTGGGGGGCAGATTATTTTTTTTTTTCCCCCAAATTGCAAAGCAGACTGAGAAATGGTAATATTAGAAACCTGACATTTTGCACTCATT